TACTTCGTTTCTTTTACTACATGACATGGTATTTTTTCAGAACAATTTGAACATACAAAATTGCATGAGCGTATATATGATTATAAAAAAGATAAATCCAATTAAAATGATGAAAACTTCGACCCCAATAGAGAGCACATATAACGTCAAGTAACCCAGGTAGAAGATACCACTAACTCTCTTGCAATATTAATAACTTTGAAAAGATGTAACACTAGTATGGGATGAATAATTTCCTTCTTGTTGCGCGTTTTTAATTGAAGAAATTCCCATATGCATATACACACACATATATATATATATATATATATATAGAATGAATGTCTTCTTACACGTGCTTGAATGTCCTGTTACAGTCTTCCAAATGTTATATGTGTAGGACCAGGCATGCTGAAAAATCGTACTTGCTCTCATCAGGATCTTTCCTATGCTTACTTGGCACTTGAGGTCATTGTTTAGTACAATGTTTTGGAAGACAATTGGGGTCGTTTTCTGTAAAATTTCTACATTTATGGTTCTACAATTAAAATTAGAATGGCTCCTTCTGACAAGATATGTATTGAGCCACAATAAGAAAAATTATTAAAAGCTAATGTACTACTTAAAATTAAACTAAAATAGTTATGTGGTGAAAATGTAATTAGCACTGATGCCAAAATAACTGACAAAAATTTTGTAATCTCTGCTTTCAGTCACTGATAGAACTTTAATCCAGATATTTTGGAGAATCTCTTTGGGGTTAAGTTTATCGAATCGGATATATCACTTTCTTCTCTGATCACATAACAGAGGACTACAATCCATTTCAATTAAATAATCAGATAAATATAGCAGATAGATGCACAAGATAGAAGGGAAATATCAAATATGAGTACAAAAAGATATTTCATAAACATTTTTTTTGGGTGCTTTTGACCGTACAAGAGGGTTGACCGTACAAGAGGGAGAAACCTTTTGTATCTTTTTTTTAAAAAAAAAAAAAAGTGCCACTGGGAATAAAGAGCCATGGCCATTATATTATATTCTTAATTTGGATATAAAGAAAGAACACACAAAAAATGAATTTAGTTAGCTATTTGAAAGGTTTATAACACTAATATTCACCATTATTATCAATTTATCAACGTGTGGTTCTGATCAATAAAATTTGTATACTGTATTAATCAGGCATCATTTATTATTTATAGGCCGAAAGATCTAATCAAAGGCATTGGAATCTGGATAGCTTGTTTTTTTTTCCCTTACTTTGTTGTAGACTTTCACACCTTAATAAATATAATATAAAGTGGTATTGCCAAATTTGGTATCCCCCTTCTATTTATGTCAAAACATCTAGAATTTAAATCCAAAAGCAAAGGAAGCCGACTAGCTAGTTTTTCAAATTGAAGTATTTTAACAAATTATGAAACTGGTATCTTATTTCTATTAGTTAATAATGTGAGATGAAGATTTTTTTTCTCTTTCTAAGATATGAGATGAATATCTTTAATCCATGCAATAATTAGTGACGTCTATTCTTTGATTGTGTTAATTATGTGGAGTTTGGACAATGTATTCTTAGAATACGAGCATATATATGTATTAGAAGTACTAAAGAAATACTCAAAAGAAAGCAAAAGATAAAAACCAAAAGAGTATTATTTAGTTAGATGCGACGGTCAACAATGACAAAGATGGTATTAATTGTGGCTTTCTCAAAAGCTCTCTCAGCTTCATGGAATAAATGTTGATTACTGATCATTAATTAATTAAGCCTTTTGGAAAATCTCTCCAAGAAGTTTTGCCGAATTTTTGTAATAGTTGACAGGCAAAAATCAAAATTAAAACATGGGGTTTATAAGTTTCCCATATATAACATGACCTTATTAGATGTCACTTCATGTTATCATAATCTTATAGAAATATTCTCTTATATATGAAAGAATAATATGATCCAGTACTTGGTCAGAATGCGTATATGATATATCGACTCATGTTACAGAGACAACATACAATTTTTTTTTTAATCCTTGTTTGTTCTTTATCAATTTGAATTTTCAATTCTTTTTTTAATTATTTTTTATATCCACGTCTAGATATCATATCGATATACAAAAAGTAAATAAATAAATAATACATAAAACTATATTCTACAGTTTTCAAAAGTGCCGTATTTGTGTTGCAAAAGAGTAAATGATATTCTAAAAAGTATTTCGGATCAGCTTGGATAAGTAACTCAATTTGAAGCCAAGGATCACTTGACTTTTGACGTTTTGATTGAGCTAGCTTGTTAGCTTTCTGGGAATTCATAGTTGCTCTAGAGACAAATTTTGTAGTTATGTAATTTTTGGCATTTGAGGAACATCATATACTATACGATATGTTGTTAAAGCAATTATAGGGGAATGTTAACTTTTTTATTGTATATGAATATTATACATGTATATAATACACACACACACACACACACACATATATATATATATATGTATTTTTTTGCCGGAAAGTCAACTTTGATTGATGATGAGTCTAGAAGTAGAATATAAAGAGTGCGTGACAGTTTCTGGCATCAGAAAGACATGAGAAAGAGATATCTAGTAATATATAGATGCCTTTGTTACTGCTACCCCCCACTAATAGGTTTTTTAGATTGACATTTTATTGACAAGATGTAAATTAAAAAAAAAAAAAAGAAAAGGTGAAGTGCAAGTGATGTGCTGTACGTGGGGTTCAAGTCAAGGAGGAGTTCTACAAGATGTTGCGGTATAGCTCAAGTCCAAATCGCATTAAAAGAGCAGATTATGGCTAATGGTTTTAAATTAATTCAATGTGAAGAGGTATTGATCGTGAGATTGCCAAGATTTACCAAGTCAAATTTAAGTTGGTTTAAACTAGATTCCGGATTTGAAATTGGAGTATGGTCTGCAGAGTTGATTTAAAGAAGACTTTATCAAGATAATCTTACTTTGACTTGAATTCAAAATTCAAGTCTAAGAGTATTCGGTCTGTGAGTTTGTGAGCATTATGAGTTTATTGAAGTTCGTTCTTCGGGAGAAAAATTAGAAGTTTTTGGGAGGAAGCGCTCTGCCAGCTGAAAGGATTTTGCCGTGTAGTTTTTAAAAGTGAGTGGTGCTCGCTGAACGAGACCATCAAATAGATTCAACACGGCAGTGACATTGTCGAAGAGAGAGTCTTTGAGTGTATACGTCTGATTGATGATTGTAATCATTGATACTTAGTGAATTGTTCACTGTTTGAGCGTGACCCTACAGATGTAGGTGGTTACCGAACCACGATACCAATTCTATATGCCTATTTATTTATTATTTTCATAGTCTAATAATTAAGTTCAGTAAAATAATTGCTAAAAACGGATCTTAACACTAATGTTTATTTGGTTTACTATTATAATTAGATAAAGTTCCACACCGACTAAAAAGAAAAGAACCAAAAACAGGGAAAGTTAATTACACAACACACACATTATGGGAATGGCCATGTGAATCACAATTGCTCAAGATTAATAAATGTTCATGATCAGCGAAACAAGTAGGCCTTTTTATCCATGTCATCCTCTTGGAATTGTTCTCTTTCGAAGCTTCTTTCTGTCTGTGGATGCTAATTAAAGCTCATCAGTCACGTGTCGTTTCTTGAAGAACTAGTGTTTTAATAGCCTTTGTAGTGTAAGTTCATAGCTCACAAATAGTTAGAAGTGATTGATCATGAATAGCGTGGAGGTGATGAGAGTGTGTGGAACAATGCTTAGATTCTTATGTGACAGTATTACAGGTTTATCACGTTTGATACTAGTGCACGACTAGTTAAAAACTAAACTAATGAGTATTTGTAGTTAGTAACCATTAACGTGTGCAGAATATCAAACATCTGTGTCAATCTCACAAATAGTTAGAAGTGATTGATCATGAATAGCGTGGAGGTGATGAGAGTGTGTGGAACAATGCTTAGATTCTTATGTGACAGTATTACAGGTTTATCACGTTTGATACTAGTGCACGACTAGTTAAAAACTAAACTAATGAGTATTTGTAGTTAGTAACCATTAACGTGTGCAGAATATCAAACATCTGTGTCAATGGCTGGCGCCTTCTCGCCCCCTTTTTTTTTTTTTTTTTTTTTTTTTTTTTTTTTTTAACTAACTCTACACCTTACGATGAAGTTAACAACCACCAATGGTCGACTGTTGACAAATTTTACTATAGTTTAAAGTATGGAAATCTAGAGGAATGCCCCCTTTGTTAGAAGGGGATAAAGATTTATGTTATAAAACTTCTGTACTCACTTTCTTCTCTTACATATCAGCAGAATTCTATGAGAATGGGGGCAGATCTATAAAACCAAATACATGGGAGGGTTTGGGTTCATTATGCATTCATTGTGACATCTCATTATTTTCTTCTTTCCACCTGGACTCTGTATTTGGTTTGCAAATGATTCCATATAAATTTCCTTTGAGCGCTATAGGAATATTAACGAGTCAAGGCGTGTAAGAGTTGCTCTAAAGTGGTCGGTAGCTACATCATTAAGATGGGTAAAAGGTTTATCAACTCGTGAGAATCCTTTTATAGGTCAACTTTCTAGATGAAGCATTTTCAATGTCGTAGCATCTAACATAGGAAGATGGTAGATATGATTTATGAAGTCCGTTTCCTTTTTTTTTTTTTTTCCTTTGATACTCGGGAATCCCTCGAGTTCATTTTATGCGTCCGAAATAAAACCTGGAGCCCTCCGTCAAATCCTATAACTTTTAGAAGGCAGAAAATTATAACGTTTATCATATAGGTACCCATGAGTTGGTTTGAACCCCAAACCATAAAGCAAACCAAAGGCCTGACCATTCCAATCAACATCCCATGAGTGATTTGTGAAGTCCACTTCTTATCCATCAGACTTCAGTAGAGTGCTTTCTAACCACTTTCAGAAACGACATTTGTAAGCTACTTGTCACTCTACACAGAACCCTACTTAAGGGGCCTATTGCAACATAATAAAATAAGGGACTCTGAAGAAAAGAAAAAAACTAATTCATACATTATTCACCAAAATTCGATCCAATATAGCAATAACAAAACTATGGACCACAATTAATCACCATTGTAGTTTCAGTACTTAGATTGACCTTCAATTGTACCCGTTCTCACAAAATTGTTCAAGCAAAGTATACTTTTCCACAAAAGACGTAAACATAACTATTTGGTCATATTGGTACCACAGAGTTGTAGTGCTCACCAAGCCCAAATGCATGCCTATGGTACGACAGCCTAATACTGGAATTGGAAGAACCGGTCTCACCATTGGATTTGTACTCTTTCCTTTTTTTTTCCCCATCTCCACATCAGGGAAAGAGCCAGAGAATATCATGATATGCTTCCTGAGGCAGTGAGTCAAAGCCTGAAGCTCTAACTGACCTCCCCACGCAGCCGTCGACTCAACTTCTTTACAGTAACTCTCAAATCTTTCTGCAAGAGAATCATCAGACCCGTCTTCTACTGCATTTTCCGACAGGAAAAATGGGAGAAAATCAGATGTGTGTTTCCTCATATAAGCAGCCACCATTTCTCGAAGTTCTTGGTAACTGTAAGGCGATGAACCTCCAGAGAGGATGGCTAGTTGAACTTCAATGGCTCGGTAGAGACAATGCCCGTCTGGCTTTATCTCGGTAACAGACAAACCAAGGGGCTCAAGCTTTTTCTCTAGTTTCTCATTCTCAATCACACGATCACTTACAATGTCGCTCTGCTCTTCTTGTATTCTCTGCTCTCTTGCTGCTTCTTGCTGAGCCCTCTTCTCTCGCCTCCTTGTACTCTTGCTGGACTTTGGCTGATCAGGTTGGTTGGTTACAGAAACTCCTGCTATGGCCTTCACTAAATTGTCAAGATTACTTTTCTCCTTTCCATCTTTAGGAGTGTAGCCCAAGGAAGCAAGTTCTTCAGCATGTTTTTCTTTAAGCTTAGCAGAAAGTTTGGAGATCTCTTCCTCCACCTGCTTCTTCTTCGCCTTCTGCTCTGCTTTGCTACCCTTAGCAGCAGCCTTTTTCAGTTCAATTTCCTTGTTCTGCAGTTCTGATATTTCTTTTCTGCATATACATGAGTTTCATTAAGGAACGGCACAAAATACATAAAAAAGCTTACAGACACAAAAAAAAAAAAAAAAAAAGAGAAGTGGTTCATAGACCCACAAGGGCAACGAATAAGATTTTTTACAAGTGGGTGTTAAGCCCCCGATTACGATGGTCTATGCTAGGAGGAAGGGTCGTAGGGGGATTCTGCAGGAAAAGGGGGAGGGAAGTGGAATTATGGAAAAAAGGTGCTGAGGTGTCAAGTTAGTTACGAGTCTGTTAGCCAAGGGTGTATTTAGGCAGCCGAATAAGTTGGAAGGAGGTGTCTGTAAATTGAGAGTTATTTCTATTAGCAGACCTTGGGAGGTAGGGGAACCTCGAATTCCTCATCATTCTTATTTCCTTCTTGTCTTCTTGTATTCCCGTGAGGATGGAATCCATCTCTCCGAGTAGTATTTTGTGAGAATTAATAAAAGGAACTTGACTCATTTTCAAGTAATTTTTCTTTGTTTTCTACTGTTGGATTGCTTATCGGTGCAGGAACGTAACATTTTGGTATCAGAGCGAGTGGATCCATGGCGGACGCTTCCGGCGAACGGCTTCCGACAGAGGAGTTATCTCGGCTCGAGCAACAGCTGGACACGTTTTACGAGGCGTTGCAGATCGTGGAAGCGATGACTCCTAAACTCCAAGAAGATGTGACCGAGCTCGGCGTTCAGATGGGTAAAGTTCAAGGGTCGGTGCGCCGGCTGGAGAACCTTCTTCTCCGGCAGGCGAAATTGCTCCGACGGAACCCACCCTTGCCGCTGAGGTTCGACGTGGGCCCGCAACGTTTCCCTGACCCTCGACGGCCGGCTCCGAATGTTCGACCCGTGACGCCGCCTCCGCCCCCTCACCACGACGAGCCCCAGTGATACGAACGGGAATTTCAGCAG